GGCCAATAATCTTAGGCGGCGATCTTCTCGGTCTGTTGTTCTACGGCGGCGTCCAGTGCCCCTTGCTCTTTGCGTACGGCCTTCTCGAAGCTATGCCTGACAGCACCTAACCACAGTGTCTACACATCTTTGCACTCTAACTGCAATTGCCCGAAAAGAAAGTCCAGCTTCCCGAAGTCCCACTATACGGCCCCTATCAAACTCACTAAGTTGACGAAATCGTACAGGTCTCCGTACTCTAGACATCGTAACCGATCGTAAAGGATGTCAAGAACCAAAATCCGCCAACGTTGATTCTTTACTGCGGCTGAAATATTTATTTTTAGAGCGTTGGTGGATTAAAAAAAAGCAGTATAAAAACCGGAATGTCCAACTGATAAGGCTGAAAATTTTTTCACTTGTTATTCACAGTAAGATAAATACATTCACCAAATTTTATTAAAATAAAACTATTTAAACTGGGTGTTCGGATTTATATGTCACTTAGTATATTTACACTATTCCTTCTATATCATGGTATTGTTAGCCTGTAACAATAGAAAAAGTGATAGGTTATAGCCTAAATGCTCAAGAAGGAGGAGGCTGGTGCAAATGTAACCAGTGATTACATTTACCCCAGTCTCAGTGATTACACTTACCCCATATGCGCATTTCGGTGGGGTAAATGTAATCGCTGGCATACATTTTTTGTTAAGTATCGAAAGTCAAATCTGATAGCAGAATCAAAGACCTTGTCGAAAATTACCTAAGGGAGCAAAATATTACAACTAAATACTAATATTTGCGGTAGTAATAGGGAATTAAAGTTCCTAAAAGGCACTCACAAAATTACTATAAATGTCAAAGCAAAAACAAAGGGAAATATTGAAACTGGAACTAAGAGGTTAATAAAAAGTAATATGGGTATAATTTTGGAGAAAATATGTTCCAAAACGTCATAAAAAAAATTCCTAGGGCCTGATTACACTTACCCCACTTTCCCCAAGTTAAGCTCAGTACTTGCTTATTTATCTACAAGTCTCCATTGACTGGGCCAATACCGTACTGATTATTGCTAAAAAGCACGAAACAACGTTGGTTATGGGCACGGAGAACACCAACGGATGCAATTCAGCGTGGGACCAGTCCATTCACAAAAATATATAAATGAGCACGTAACCTTCGGTAAAACTAATTTATGTTAGGATACATTCTGTGTCAAACGAAACATATTTTGAAATTGTACGGCAGTAACATTTGTACATGTCTTATTTAATTTTTCTGCAGACAGATAACATCTGTTAAAAGTGAAATGTGTAATAAATAGTGTTCTAA